GGACTTTAAAGACCCCACAGGGAGCTCTGTAGAATTCTTTCCTAATGTTGGCAACGTGGAGATGATGGCTGGAATTCCAGCGGCCATGACCTTGAGGACAGAGGCCACACACTGAGGATGGAAGGAGAGAGGACTCGGGCTACAGGGATATGATGACAGAGCAGTCAGACCATCCCTGCAGAGTCTACCCCCAGGGGCCCTCTACAGGAACGAAAAACTTGACTTATGCACCAATGCTTTGGGCTTTGGATAAATTGCCCTCAGATATAACACTGTGCTAAGCCAGAAATTAGAAGAGAAAATAAGGAAGCCTCTGGAAACAGAGACGGAGCAAATAAACTGGAAAATATAAAAACAACAGTTGAGGGGCTTGCCTTGCAAGAATGAGAGCCTAAGTTCAATCCTCGGAACCCACACAGAAAAGCCAGGCTCGGCGTCATACTTGTCACCCGGGCTCTAGAGAGAGGCAGGTGGATCCCTGGAGCTCTTCGGCCTAATCAGCGATCTCCAGGCCAACAAGAGACACAGAACACAAACACACGGATGACTCACACCAGCAACCCTGGCTCCCGGGAGGCTGAAACAGGAGAATCACCACAAGTCTGAGGACAGCCTGAGCTATATAATGAGTCCCAGGCTAGCCTAGACTACACAGTGAGATTCAGTTTAAACTCGCCTGCCCTCCCTGCCCCCGAAAAAGCAAAAAGCAAAGAGAATAAGCCAGGGAGTAGGGCAGCTTTGGGGATTCAGGAAAATAAGAGTGAAAGAATTGGTCAAAGAAATAAGAGGCATAAATATTCCCAAATAGAAAGACTCTAATCTTCTGAGTAAAGGTGTCTACCAAGTACAGAGCCGAAGATGGGAAATAAGACAACATATACCCCAAAGATCATCAATGCAAAATGGAAGAACACAGAAATCGAGGAGGTATTAAAACCAGAGAATAAAAAAGCAGGTCATATAATTCCCTGTGTATAGGGAAGCAGAATGGCATCAGACACATACATCAGAAGACAGAGGAGCAATGTATTTACAAATGGCTGCTGTGCTTCAGGTGTGGTGGTGGACACTTGCAATCCCAGAACCCAGGAACTGAGGCAGAAAGGTCGTAAGTTCTAGATCAGCCTAAGATATATAGCAAGACCCTGTCTCCGTGTGTGTGTGTGTGTGTGTGTGTGTGTGTGTGTGTGTGTGCATGTATGCATGCACACAGGCACAGAGCATGTAGCTTCTTTAATGTGTAAAACCCATGCATTTAATACCTAGCACCAAGCAAAAAATAGAGAAAATAGTTTTTGATCTAGATTTTTCTATCATGTGTAAGCATGCACACACATGCACACACACACACACACACACACATTTCAAACAGGAAGAGTCATTTATAGGCTGTGCTGGTCAGTTTTGTGTCAACTTGACACAAGCTAGAGTCATTTTGGAAGAGGGAATCTCAACTGAGAAAATTCCTGTTAAGATTAGACTGCAGGGCCGGGCAGTGGTGGCACACACCTTTAATCCCAGCACTCGAGGCAGAGGCAGGTGGATCTCTGTGAGTTCAAGACCAGTCTGGGCTACAGAGTGAGTTCCAGGAAAGGCTCCAAAGCTACACAGAGAAACCCT